CGGGGCTGGCATCCGCTGAGTCTGGAGTTGAACGAGGGCGTGCGCGTCCACACTGCAAGGCCACTGCCACGGGGATGAACTGGTTTTCCTCCTGAAGTATTGGGAACCCTGGAAAATCCACACTTCCGGTTTATTCCTTGATCGATGACAAGTACTCAAAATGCTTGGCATGAGGTTTGCAGCATTTATAAATGAAAGATACATTTTTAGCAGAAAAAAGGAAGTTTCTGTACTTTCTTTTGTTTGTTAATATATGGAAAACGGGGTTCATTCATTTGTAGAGATGAGTCAGTAGAAGGATCTTGGGGCTTGTGCCGGTTAGTCATTCCTAATTTCATTGAATTTCTCTGTTTCAGGCTCGTCTCTAGTCTCTGAGGATACAGTGATGCGTTTCCCACGGTCCTGCGCCCTGTAGTGCTGGGAAAGACTCACCACCAACTATCCCAAAACAAAACAAAGCAGAAACAATTGTCTACTGTCAGACAGTGATGGCAGGGAGGACGGAAATTAAGAAGAACAATGGAGATAGTGATGGTGAGTGAGAAGTTTGTTCTTTCAAATGATGCATTCATGGAAGGCTTCCTGGAAAAGGTGGCCTTCAAAATTAAGCCACAAGGTAAATACAGCAGTACTGTCAGTTTCTCTTAGTCTTAGCATCTTTAACTTTCCTGATTTTTCATACAAATGCTTTCTTCACTTTGTTTTTTACTTTCTAAATACTGTTTCCCTTCACTTTTCCTGTAACACATGGACTTAAGAGAAGTACTTTCAGGAGGTTGCCTGTGTAGTCACCAAACCTAGTATGTGGTTTTAAAGGCTTTGAGGGCAGCAGCTGGTGTCTTGTTTTTCACCAAATAAAAACTGTACAATCAGAGGTGCAGGCACACGAGGCTCTAAGTCGCAGAGCCTTCGTTTCTGGGAGAGGATAAAATCTGAGCTGATGCAGCCCTTCCACCCGGAGGAACTGCAGACCCTCACGCAGCTGTTTTTGAAAGAGTTCTATTTTGCGGAATTAAATTTGTAAAGCCCCGTGCGTTTGTAATCGGTCAGATCTCACTTACCCCCATGGTTTCTGCGCTTATCACGGAGCAGCCTGGCCTCACCTTGAACTCGAGGAATGGGCGACTGCTTTGCCCTTAACTACAAAAGAAGCCTGATCGATACTGGGCCTTCCTGCGTCTCCTTGTGAAGGCCTGTCTCACAATGGCTGTGTCTGTGAGTGTCTTCCAGGCACCCAGACGCACTCACCTCCCACTGCTCCCCAGATGATGCCACCAGGCCTGTAGCTGGGGAGACGGGGACCCCGTTACTGTCCTTCCATCCCAGCTGGTCTGCTGCAAACCTGGATCAAAGATGAGAAACGCAGGATGGGTTCTCCCTGGAGACTGCATTGGGGCTACAAAAAGCTTCCAGACGTATAAGAAGCTCTTACTTTGACTGCTCGACTTGGGTTATAAGTCTCCCGTCTCTCACATCAGAAAGCACGGCGGACCATGGCATGTTGGCCATGAGACCCTTTCGGCCCCAACACGACAGATCGGGGAAGGTTCTGGACTCTGCACGCACGTTGCAGGCAGTGTGGAATCCACTGCCTCTCCCACCTCAGTGACACGCGTCTCGACATCTGTGTGGACCAGCTGGTGACAGGAGCTTGTGTCCTATCACTTTTGATTTTGCGTTGCGCTTGTTAACGAGGATGGATGGAAAGCAGGTGTGGCCGTCCCTGCGCAGTCCCTGGGATGTGGCCGCCGCAGGCCCCATCATCAGCGGTGCCTGTGTGTGCGCTGCGCTGGCTGCAGCTGCCAGCGGCCGCCGAGCTCGTGGGCGCGGCTCCTACACGCCTAGGCTGGTCCTGAAGAGCATGAAGATCTGGCGAATTAAGCAAACATGTTAATAATGAAAGCAGAGTTCCGAAGAGCTGAGCTGGGGGAAAGAAGAACTCTCAGTCTTTTCAGGAGTTTCCAGGAGGTAACCTCACAGGGCGAGGCCAGCTGCTTGCTGGTCAATTTTAAAATTTGGATTTTCACTACTTTCTGCAGTAAAGAAGACTAAAATATTGAAATTAAAATTTGATTTGAGACCATCCTTCTTGAAACTTTTTTAAAAAAATCCAAACTTCTGTGTAATTCAACTTAGTAACTGAACCCGTGCATGGTCCTGGGAGCCTGGTGTACAGTGAGGGGATGCGCCCACGCCTGGGTTTGAATCACAGCCCTCGTCACCTTCCTGTGTGACCTTGAACAGTGTAGCTCCTCCGGGTCGTTATTTCCACAGCTGTGAAAGTAAAGCAGGTGTCGGCGTGACGCCCGTCCAAGCAGGGCTGCTCGGCTGAGTCCGGGCCTCCTGTGGCCCTGAGCGTCTGCTGCGAAGCACGGAAGGCAGCGTTTCCTACTTTTGTTGGAAATGGCCATTTGTAATCTCTGTTTCTGCAGAACGCTGGTGTCCGATGAGCTAGGTTAGTATGTTTACCACCAGAGTGTGTGGCGTTGCCTTCAAACCCGTTTGTAAAAACCATAAATTAATGAATAGAAAGGCTGTGTACTTTCTACATTTTCACCCCCATTTTCCCCTTTTGGCACCTCCTAGAAAATGCTAGGGAAAGAGGACAGATGACCAAACCACTAGTGAGCGAGGATTACCTGCGGTATGAGGACAGGTTGGTGGGTCTAAGCCACAGCATGAGCCTGCGGTTGCAGCTTCACTTTATCTGAGCGTGATTTGCTCATGTTCTCCTGTCGTCAGATGGTTCTCGGTTCAGGAGGTGACATTAGCCTGCCGGCACTCCCCACGTCAGGCAGGTCGTGCGCCTGGAAACCCCAGGTGGTGAGCTCTGCAGAGGCCTGGTCGTCTGCCTTCCTGGCGGAGACCCCGAGTCAAGCTCAGCCTCCCTCAGGATGTGCGAGACGCTATCCTGACTGGCTTCTGGACTTCGGCCTGTGCTGCTGTCTTGAAAATGGACACTGGGAAGCAGAATTTACGTCAGGTTTTCAAGGGTACAGTTTGATTTGATCAGGCTGCTTTTAGAGCACGATGAAGCTTGTCTTGACCGGATTCCGCTTATGATTGGCAAAAACACTAGGGCAGTCGCGCTGACGACTCCGGGGGCAGCGGGTGCTGGAGCGTGTGGTGAAGCCGCTGCTGGCCAGGCTTCTCCACTGTGATCTCTGTATTTTTTGGGTCTTGATATCACATCATTGTAGGAAGATCCTTGGAGAGCATAACGGGTAACCAGATCTGCCCCGCTGAATCCTGGGGCTTCTGCAGAATGTGGTGCCTCTTCATTGCTTCTGCACACACCTGGTTTTCCTGGTAAACTGGAAACTCTTCAACGGATGTAATGTGTCTAAGGGAGATAAGTCTTGGATCTGAGGTCAAGAGGCTGAGTGGAGTTTGAGGTTAAACTGAATAATGGTGAAACCACAAGTCCATTTCTTACTGTCTCATCTTTTCTGTCAAAGAATTGCCGGGCAATAACTTACACGCTGTCAGTTTAAAATAAAACCATGTCCAGAAACAGCGTATCAGAGAAAATGCCCGGTGCTCTACGCAGAACACCTGGATGTGTCAGAGAAAATATATCAAGTCTCGCAAATGCAGAGTGGAACTTGGGATAAACAGGGACATCTCCAAGGGCCAAAATTAAACAGGGAGAGAAAAGCACACTGTGACTTTTTTCCCTGAAACTTCAGCTGCCTCGTGGGAGCTCGCTGCCCTTGGTGACTCCCAAGCTTGGCTTTTAGCGGTTGGAAAGAGCGCAAGTGAGCAGCGTGGAGACAAGTCCACGGGGAATGAGCGCTGGACCCATGACTGTGACCAGGGGTTACAGAAGAGAAGGAGCTCAGGAAAAAGGCCAGGTGCGTGCTAACTAGACACGCTTCCCCAGGACTGCGTGTAAAAAAACGTCCTAACTTGTGAACAGAACACTGTCAGGTGGGGTTTCGAGTCAAATTGTTACTGATATTTTTGGTTCAGAAAACCTAAAATTGAGACAGCTGTGTGAACCTGGGTCTGTGATGCCCCGAGGAACACATCACAGGAGCCCTTTCACACCCTCTCCAGAGTATCAAGTTCCTCACAGGCCATGAGGGCTTCCGTTCTGGGAAACAGCGACATTATAAAAACAAACAGACGCAGCCCCGGGACCCTCGGGTGACTTAGTTGTCAGAACGTAGTTTAAAGAACACACTTAAAATAAGAAATGCAAAGTGAACGAATTATTGGAAAAAAAGATAAAGATGAGGCTAGACAGAACGCAGTGTGACTGCTGGGTATGAAAAGGTCTTTGATGGGAAATACAGATGGATTTCTGTTCCTGGAACTCTGCACGGCAGACTGGAAATTTAAGATGGCTCTGGCCACAGTGTAGCTAGATCAATACAAAGAACATAAAAGCCACCCTTTCCGCTAAACAGGCATCCAGCAGCCTCTGTGGCATCTTCTGGGTGCAGGAAGCAGGCACAGCCTCGGATCCTGGAGGAGAGGGGCCTGGACAGGTGGTCTGTGCGCCCTGCAGTCGCCCAGGGGGCCTTGAGCTCAAAGCCTCTGGCCCAGCCCTCCGTGTACCTGGCTGCCCTTCAGAGCGAGCACGCCTTGGGAGTTGGCGGAGGGGATCTCACCTGGAGTAGAAGATCCCGGAGCGGGATGGGGATTTCTCTTACTAAGGTCTAACTGAAATCTCAGGGCAGTTGAACGGCAAACTACTTCAGTATATCTGTATATTGAGAAAGGGTCAACACAGTACGATTTTACTTCTGATCAGAACGTTTAAGATCTACTCCCAGCAACTTTCAAACGTGCGACAGTTACTAACTGCTAACGATATTAACTACCCTTGCCCAGCTGTATGTTGCGTCTCCACAGCTTACTTATCTTATAACTGTGAGTTTCCACCTTCTAACCTCCTCCTCATAGAAGGCTTCTCGTGAAGGACGCTGGCTTTGTCCTCGGAGAGCAGATACTAAGATGAAAGATGAGGCTGACGAAAGCAACCAGACAAGACAGCTAGGTACAGAAACAGTTCATGACCTTCGTCTAAGTGTGGACAGTCACAGTGAACCTAATGATGTGCACGGCGACTTTGGGCCACGTGAGTTCTTTATGTGCCTCGGATGTTAACCTCTCCTCTGACGAGATTGGCAAACATTTTCTCCCATTCAGTAGTTTGCCTTTCATGTTGGTGGCTTCCTTTGCTGCATAGAAGCTTTTCAGTTTGTAGCCCACTTGATATTGCTCTTGTTGCTTTTGCCTTTGGAGAAAGCCAAGAAACACTGCCATGACCTGCAGCAGGAAGCTTGCCACTTACGCTTCCTTCAGGGAGTTTTACAGCATCGGGTATTATATTCAGGTCTTTAATCTATTCTGAGTTAACTTTTGCGCATGGTGTAAGACTGTGGCCCAGTTGCGTCTTTTGCTTGTAGCTGTCCAGTGTCCCCAGATCATTTATTCTCCTTTTTTTGCGGCTGATTTACAGAATCACACTGGTTTCAGGCATACCACCTCCAGAGTCAGTCTTTTATAGATTACACTCCACTTAA